CACCGTTGCCTTAAAGTTTGTACTACAAAGAACTGTATTAGACGACTTCATAAGTTTTCCGATAAAAGTGTATTTTTGATCATATCAAATGATGCATCATTAGATGAAGAATCAGTCTCAAAATTATCTTCGTTTCTAAATGTGAAATATATTTATCATTTCGGATCAGATCATCCTTGGAAGAAAGTAATAGGAGATGTCTCCAACGATATTACTGAACTCTCACAAGAAGAATCAGCTTTGAATATTTTACCATCAAATATGAATTCTCAAGAAATAAATAATCTTGATGCTGAAACGCAAAAATTTGCTATTAACCAGGTATTTATTGAATTCCTAGACCGTCATCCACGTACATCTCAAGCAAAGGAAGAGTTCTTAAGTTTCTCTAGAATTACTTATAAGAACGACAGCGTACGTTTAAGACAAATCTGTGATTTTGAAAAACAATATTACTCAGACGAGGCTATATGGTGGTATACCGGCGACAAGTTTCCTTTCCACATTCTGAATCGAACATTACGATCTTACAATCCAGAAAACATGTTCAAAATTCGGTATTACATTTCTGACCTTTATTCACAACTCAACACACTTTATTCACAACTATCAACGCAACAAATAAGTTCCATGTCACGATTATACCGCGGTAAAGTCATTCCTACAGAAGAATTAGATAATCTAAAGAACAGCATTGGAAAATTTGCCGTTGTTAACTCATTCGTGTCTTTTTCCATCGATAAACGAGTGGCTCTTGCATATGCTGGTGAGGGCACTTCGGAATCAACGGGCAATGTTTCGGCCGTCTTTTGTATAGAAAATAATGCCAAGGAGAAATTTTTAAAACCATTTGCATGTATCGATAAATATTCTCAAAAAGATGATGAACAAGAAGTTTTATTATCTATGGGAATTGTTTTCAAAATTGGATCGATCGAAGAACGTGAAGTAAGCCAGTAGAGTGTTGACATATTTTTGTGATATTTATTTTCATTTTAGAAAAATCTTTGGGAAATCCGTCTGCTCAGAGATGCCGAAGAACAAGATTTTGAGAAAGAATTTTATAGGCGCCTATGGTCAATAGGTGATGGATTAGGTATGACTCTCAACATAATACCAATTTTCGAGAATATAAACGATGGTCAATACGTTGAACAATTAAAAAATATGTTACACACGGATTTAAAGACAACAAAATCAATCCTACCTAGAAACTGTCATACTGCAAGGTTTAATAACTGTGTTTCTCCAACCAATAACAGCCCTCCTCAATCGGTAATTTGTTTTTGTAGAAAGATAAGATAGTGAAAGTTGATTTTTATATAAATAACTTATTATGACACATATATCTGCTCCATCCTAACTTTGAAGTTATGCATATTTATATTGGATGAAGGATATTTCCAAATATTTCTATTTTCCGATGATACTTGATAATCATAAACTATCAATTAGAATCAAAGTAATTCTCTCAATTTCGATCGAAAGTAAAAATCTTGGTAGCGAAAATCAACATTTTCTGAACGAACTGATCTATCAACATTTTCACTTTCGAATTTTTTAGACATTTTTACTTTTCTCCAAAATTAAAATTACGAATTAATCTATTCGAGATTGTAGTATATATCGGTTTTAGTATTTTTTTCTCTTATTCTTTGTACTTCATAATTTTAAGATCGGAAATACATAAAAGAAGATAAATGTTTGAATCATGATATTAATACCCAAGTCAAAAAAAACACTTCTAAGCAATTAAAAATATAGAGAAAGACAATAACTCACATAGCTCATGAGGAAAGTGTTCTAACTCTCAGATCCTGATTGAATTAATTTTTTTCACTTAGAAGTAGGCTTTAATGTGACTGGGAAAAGCATAAAAAGATAAGTCTCCTTGAGTTTTCTTTAATGAATTATGGCTATTTGATTCAATTTTTACTATCCAAGCTAGGGATTGTCATAAACAGCTAATGGTCGAATGTCCATCTAACATTTTACCCATATGTAAGTTTAATGACCGTTAAAAAGTCGCAAAAAATTCAATCAAAACAAATGCTTGTCGAGATGTTGAACTCCTACGAAAAATTTCTTTTTTTTAAATCTTCTTACAGAATATAAGTGTTATTTGAAGATTTCATATCTCGAGAAGTAAATATTTGTTTTGGCTCAATTTTTTACAATTTTATAATCGTCATTAGACCTACATACGATTAATATATATAGTCGACATTTGACCATTAGGTGTTTAGGATAATTCATGGTGCGAATGGAGAAAATTAAATAAAGTGACCATCACTTATGAAAAGAGGTCCAATGACACTTGTCATTTTAGGTTTTTTCTAGTCTCATCAAGTTCTCCTTATGGACAAAAATCAGCTCAATTGACATTGGACAGTTGGAGAACTTTGCTGGCCAATATTAAGTTCGCGTATATCTGTGACCATACCGAGAGATATGATCTTTACAGACAAACCAACATTTGATGATTCTCTTCTTATATGGAGTCTGTGTACTTTTTCATAGATAGATTTGGATTCGTTTGATTATCAGAAAGATGCTCAATGCTAACGAATGAACGATACTTTAGAATGATTTTGACTCAATTAAAAAGCAGCGGTGGTTTGACCGAAACTTTCACTAATTGTAGAACATTGGGATAGCGCAGTTGTCTTTATAAGTTTCAGTTCAACCGGTCAAACTTTTGCCTTAACATACTACTGTGTCATACAGGTTCCCTAGTGACCTATAGTAATCACCACATGAGGCATGAAGGTGTTGGTGTAATGTGGGTGTGAGTATACGTTCTAGATTGATTACATAAACAGCATAATACTTAAGCACATTAGTTGAAAAAGTAGAAGTACAATCATATTCTTTTGTATAATTGAATTTGAAAACAAAATATCAATATTTTGCTATTTTTAGAAATATAATTTGACCTATGAAAAGTCTGATTATATAATTGAATAGAGCTTGCCGAGTTGTACTTGGAATCTGTAAAAAGAGATTCGAAATATGCTTCCAGATGAATCACTGCTAACTTCGCCTACGTAAATATGCAGTTTTTCAGTCTAGAATTTCTATATAATATTAAATGAGACCTTAACCTTCTCTTCCCCTACAATAAAACACCTGGGTCTTCTATTATGTGGGAGTATATAAAGTTTTCAGGGTTGTATTCTATTATACTTCGTATATTTCCATGGTTTTTAATTCAAAACATGTTTCAAAAATACAAAATGATTTTGAAGATTTGGGAAGGGATTTTTAAGGTTTTAAATGCTGAGAAATAACGTTGACCAGAGTCTTCTAAGAGTATCAGCTCGAAATCCTGAAAACTAGTCATATTTTGATGTAACTACAGCATGGGCCAAAATTCACCTGGCAGTCTTTGATTGTGAGTAACTTTTGATCGGAGCAAGATAAATATCTGCAATTTTCATCATTAGATAGAGCCCTTTTCAGGGCGTTTATCTCCATAACATTTATTAAGTCTAATGAGATTTCGATATTTACTTACAATAGAGGTAGACGTTCTGAGGATCGCTCTATCTAATGGCAAAAACTGCAGGCCTTTATCTTACTCCAATCAAAAGTTACTCGCAATCAAATACATCTCGATGACTTTTGGCTCATCCTGTATATTAATTAAAGTTTCAATTATTCTAGAAATTAAATAATCAAGAAGATCTTCGATAAAGTCTGTCGCATCCGTCCTCCAAGGGGTTTTCTATTGTAAGGCGAACAGGAGAAGGCTTACTGGAAAAAATGCTCATAACTTCTCATGGAGACAATTAGTAAATAATGAGTGATGAAGTTTGCATGAAAAAACTGTTCAAAAAACTAATTATAAACCCATTCCATGTTTACTTTATTAATTGTCAAGCGCAAGCTAGAATGAGCTAAAAGTTTAGAGAGCCTCGATGATACTTATCCGTTTGCGATCAAGAAATATGCAGATCAACATTTTTAAGAATATGATTATGTTTGAGGAGCTAGTGAACAGTCTCTTAAAAAACTGATTCTATTTATCAATCATCTTATATTTTATTCATTTGACGACAGAACCAGTTAAAAACGAACAAATACATTTCTTCAGTAGAATTCAGCAGTGTTTTACACAACCTTATATCATTTCGATGGTTGTGACTGTAGTGATCATTGCAGTTATCGCTGCAATAATTGTGGGACCCATTGTGAAACACGTTATTTTAAAGCCTACATTATCTGCTAATACAACAATGATACCAACCATTCCTTCCATAGTAACAACTACAACAACAAGTACTACATCAACAAGTACTACGACAACATCAACAACCAGGAGGAACGACGCAGCAACCTTGTCATTATCAATGGACTATATATTTCTCTTAGCGTGCTGCATTATTATATCGTGTTCAAAAATTGTATTCGACGATTTTCTTCATTAAATGAACACATTTGTTATAAGAGATGTGCAATGCTAGTGTGGGTGTGAGGTGTGTGGGTGTAGATGTGGGTGTGCGTGCGCGTAAGTCTGCGTGTAGATTTCATTCTTCTCTTCATCTCCAGCCACAGCCACAGCCACACCTTTTCTTATGACATATTTGTTGTTTGACAGTTATTCTAAGGTACGGTAGGAATGCAATCAGCAGAATTGAAATTATTATCAACGTATTATTGAAAATATTATTTTTCGTTGTCATAATTGTTTTTTATATCTTTAAAAAAATTAGAATAGAGAATATGAAAAAATAAAAATAAAAAAGTCAATCAATAGTGTTCCTATTGCGAGGATGTAGGTGCCAGACTAGAAGAATACAATAGTCACACCCACACCCCATACCCAACACTGACACCTACACCCACATCCACATCCACACCCACACCCACACCCACACCCACACCCACACCCACATCCACACCCACACCCACACCCACACCCACACCCATTACCAATGACAAGTAAAATTATTTTATTTTCTTTGAAAATAGTCGTCCATACATAAAGTAATGAAAGTCTAGTTTATAAATTGAAAATCAACACGTAAAAGATACCTCATATTGATTTGATCAGTATCATAAACAATGAATTCATTATATTGCAAAGAACTTTTTTGAATCTTTGCATTAATACTACGACCCATTGGAATGAGAATTCCATCGTCCGTTATATATTGTCCTAGATAACAAGGTTTAGTCGCATCAATAAAAAAAAACGATATCAGCTACCTTTAGGACTTGGAATCGTTTTTCCACAGGCTTTGACTGATTGAGTATTCGCTGGCAATGTTTCTGTCGAAAAACTGGTCCGTTGGTGACACTCGTACATTTTGCCTAGTGCAACTTCACATAAGAGCATTAAACCCCCGGATGCTGTGGGTGTAGCGAAACAGTAGTGTGCTGAATAACTATTTGGATTAGGTATATGTAATCAAATGGAGAGAAAGAACTTACCACCTTTAGATACCATATCAGTAAAATAAACGCCTTTACCAAAATTGTAACCAGACTAGAAGAATTAGAAAAAAATTTGTAGTTTTTACAGTTTGTTTAAAGCTAATAGATCTATGAGGACACTGCTGTTTAACTTACCGCTGGAGCTTCAGGCGGAGCAATACGTAATCCTTGACTGAGAATTCCAGCAAAATTGGTTTTTCTTGAACCGTGCCATAACAATTGACGATTTTCAGTCGACTGCCACTTTTGAAATTTTTCACGTTCACCTTCTCGTGTTGTTTTGAATAATTCTTTCAATTTCAATGTATACTTTCGCTGATGAGGTGCGTATGTATTTGTCATGTATTGTTCAATTCTATGAAATTCTTCCGAATTATGATCGACTGGTTGTAGAGAACATTTTAATTTCTTATAATAATCATCAATCGAATGTTCGTTTTTTTGATCATTTGTTTCTTTCAACATTGAGTAAGCCTTTTCAATTTCAAGTAAATTATCGATGATTTCTGTTTTTGATTGAATCAAATCGATTTTATCCAAAATAATCGGTTTTCCTCGATTAAAATTATGCGGAATAAGTGTATAAAATCGATTGCTGGCGTCGATTATCGCTGTTTTATTTGTGGCATCATTTGTAATCAATGTTTGTAATTCGGTCAAGACTTGATATCCTTTGTTGAGTTGATTACGTGAAAGTCTACCCAATGGCATTTTGGTTAGATCAATTTCAAATGATAATAATGCTTCCTCCATACTTTCTATATCGAAAATAAAACAAATAAGATCTTGTACTAATTTTGGAAGATTAGAACGCTTGTTGGCATTCACATTATCAAATACTTTTTGTATGTCGTGATTTCCATAATCGATTTCAAGTGGATAAAATTTATTGGGGAATTTTTTAAATGTTCCTCGATCGCTCCATTTATTTCCAGTTTTATCAAGAAATAATGTTTCAAACGCTTTGATGGCTTCAGATTGATCATCAAATTGTTCATTTTTCTTTCCACCATAAATGGTACCAGTGCGACCCTTGAAAACAAAACAGAAAAATTCAACTCAAAGTATACAAACAACTTATCATGTTCGAAAGAGAAACCATTGATGGCCACTATCGGCTTCGAGTAGTTGTATTTTGTAATATGAATTCTTGTCACTTGTTATATTGACTGCACCAAGTACAGCCGCAAAAATTTCACCAGTTTCACTATCTCTCATCACATGACAAAAATCTTCAAGTCCTATCAAAATTAAAATCGTGCATGTGAAAGTCTGAATGATGATTAATGATTTTGAACTCAAAGGTCAATTTTCGCACAATGGGAATAGAAATATCAATTTATCGATAAAACGTTCTTGTTCATCCAGAGCTACTCGAATGTCACTTGCCTGAATCGGGATCGATTGCAGCACCATCCTTTAATATCATTGAGACTTTTTCCGGTACAGACTTTCTTGATCGTGCTGCAACAAACATTGATATAAAAGGTTGTTCATAAACAGATTATTGATTACAATTGGACTTACATGTTGATATTTTCTGTGCATTATCTTTTGTCTGTTGCTTTCGAATGTGTGGTAAGATACCCCAAGTTGATATTTTCAATTTCTCCATAACAATCCACGGTTGATCATTTTGAATATCATCCAAGAATTGCACTGGTACAACATGAATTTCGAATAATTGAGCATCTTGAATCTTCTTACTCTTTCTCTGTACTTCATCTATTGAACATTTGTAAAGTAGAAAGAATGAAATAGAATAAAATATAATAAACAATCAACCTTGTGTACTGATCACTACATCAACTGTTGCATCGACATTTGCAAGAACTTTTGCACCTAAACGTTCGATTTCTTGTTGTAAAGTAGCGGCTGTCTTTGATAAACGACCAGCTAATACAATAGAATAACCCTTAAGTGGAAATTTTGGATTATATTTTGGTCTATAATCAAATAGTCACAGTATTATTTGATCAAAAATGAAAGAAATTTACTCTTTGATGCTGCGCATGCCATTAGTTGTCTTTGTTGTTGACATTGATTTCTTCATCACTTTCGTTATTAATCGATCCCGCTTCGTATATTCGTATTCTTTACTATTGAATATATTGATGTCATAAACTGATTCTTGTAAATAAAAAAAACTTACAAAATATTGTACTGCTGTTTGACATCGTCTGGTATTTCAAATGGTTTTCGATTTGGTGATTGTGTTGAATACATGCATTTCGTCCATTCTGTAATATTACCTGTACACTTGTAGGTTGTATAACTAAATTTCGAGGAAAATATTTCAAAAGAAGTGTAAAATTGAAATAACTGACTTAAAGACAATAAAACCACCGCATTCAGGACAATGTTCAAGTGCACCAAACGCCATACAATCGGCCACTGTTTCTATTAACTAAACAATTAAATCAATTATAAATTGTTGAAGTGCCAAATAAATATACATTATATTCTCCTGAAACTAGTTTTTGTAAATTGAACTCAAGTAGTTGTTTCAGCACATCTCGTGGAATCTCTTTACGCAAGGCATCTTTGTAAGTCCACAGTAGTTCACTTTGTTCCTACAAAAATCGAATTTATCATCTCGAATACTCGAAAAATAGTTGACCTTCTTTATCTGTATTTCATCTTCAAGTTTTGGTTGCTTGACAATCATTGTATCATCAATCTCATCCGTTTCACTTTTACGTTTCCTACTTGAAACAGTTGGTGATGGCAATTTTTGTCTCAGTTCCATTTGATCTTCTTCCTTCAGATTGGCGAAACCCGAAAATCTTTAAGAAAAAATTTAAAAATCCGAGGAAAGATAAAAATAAATAAGACTCACGATTCAGCAGTTCCACTGAATCCGAGATCATCTTTGATTTCGTTGAAACAATTAATGTGATACCATACGTCTGACTGTTCATTGGGTTCCGACGATATAGTTGTGCCGTCCTTTTTCGATAAACACAAAGTATCCGTTTCAATCGCCGAATCACAAGCATGGCATTTATTTGGATTGGATTTTGTATATTGAACAGCAAACGCATCTTCGCGGACGGTTTCATCTAACAGAAATCGCATGAAGAATTGCTCGTACACATCGCATATTTTCACTTACTTTTTTTTTCAGTTGAATTTCCTTCGATCTGTTGACGAATTCTTTCTTGATCTTTCCAGCGCAAACTTTCAAAACCTTTGATCATTTGAACATCATGAAGTTTGACTTTTTTGTAAAAACATTTTTTATGGTGCCATCTGAGAATCTATCAAACAAATATCACGTTATTTTTTCTCTAGTAATTTTTGACAAACTTTGCCGTCGAAATTTGGCGATTGAACTATAATTCCAAATCTAATGGTATTTTTTTTAATAGTCGATCTACAAGCAATGCAGTTTGATCGATCCGATTTTGAATATTCGACTGTGAATGCTGAATCGACCGACATGCTTCAACTTCGTGTTGTGCAGTGGTGAAATATCAGATAAGAGAACGATCTCTAACTCACCTGACAATCTCTTTCAAAAAATTACCTGGTAATGTTGCAATTCATAATACATAGGTAGAACAGAAAAAGAATGTAGCCATGGTTGTGACTCACACATCAATTGTATCAGTTTTCTTCAGTAGCCGATAGATATTTATTTTTCAACATCCGAATAACTGAAAGCAATGTAAATCATCAATAATGTGAGGTAGAATAAACGAGCTGAAGTTTTTAAACAGATCTTACCAATCTCAAACATTGCTTACGTACGACATCTATTCTGATGAGTATACAAAACAATATTATACCTTTCGTTTTAACTGACGAGGGAGATACCCAAACTGTCCGCTCGACTTTGAGCTGATCTTTTGATGACCAGACAATCCGTCGTAATAAGGGTGTGGGTGTCGATGTTGATCTATCAAGATCACTCTCACATTCCACACCCACACCTCACCAAAACAATCACAAGTAACGCTCGTCTATGTGACTCGCTTGACCCTCGACTGAGTATTCAGCTGGTTCGGTATTGTGTACTGCTTCGCAGTACTCAACAGGGCGCGTATCAAAAGTTTGAAAAGGGTGCATGTGAATGCGAATATTGACATTCGCATCAATGTCTTTGTGTACATTGACATGCGTGTGTCTGAAATACGTTTTCTTATAAACTGATCCAACGAAACAGAAACACATTGAATGATATCCAACGGAAATCTAGATGAATAACACTAAGGCAGCAGTATCCATATGCTCCGAGAAAAGGGTTTGCATTTAATATAGAGAGAGACAATAAAAAAAAAAGAATACCCAGGACACTAGCGTGAAAACTCATCATACTTCTTGAAAACAAATAAAAATCTGTATAGTTACCAGCACATTAACCGACAATATCATTTGCTAGTGTCCGCTACAAAAACACGTGTATAGCTAAACTTCTAGATTACAATAAATTATATTTGATCAGACTTATTCTCAGAATACGCCACTCGAATGACGCTAGCACTCAAAATAGTCACCGGATTAGACAGATAATTTCGAAGTACTCGAATAAATTTAGACGAGTAAATGCACATAGACATGGATACATAATGACAGAAAAGCTATTTTATTTCATGGAAATCTACTTTGAATGGACAGAACTGAATTCTTTGCATGATGTTTCTGTCAAATGTTTCATTCATATATTGTGCACGTGCAGCACAACTGTTCTCACATTTCATTCGAAAACATTTCTTAGTCTTTTTTGCTAGTTCTGGTTTCTATTGAACCTGTCAGATCTTCACTGTAGACATTTTTTCGATGGATTACAACAATCTGGAGTATATCTTTAGAGAATCTCACTGAGTAGCAGCTAATCACGCGTCGATGTTCCTTTGGAGCACCATTCGCGGCTAGCCACTACTATACTGAATTCTATTCTGGCATAAAACCATTCTCTTTGATTTAAACCCTATCAGATTCTAGATTTCACTTAGTTCCAAAAAGTCGTTACAGTTATAACACGAGAATTTGCCTCGCTCGCCAATCAGAGGTTCACTTAAATTATTCGCTAAGAGAATCTTAGTGGAGTATTCTCCAAAAAAATCAAGCATTTATAAATGATCATCTGTGGGGCGAATCAACACTGAGCCTGCAATAGGAGTGACTAGTCGTTCGTCGGGCGCCCTTCAGAGCGCCACTAACGGCTAGTCGCTCCATTATCTGAGCACACCTGAGCAAAAGCTAGTTATTCTCTTTTAATCGCAAGAAAATGTGATATCATTTCTACATATTTGTTTATATTACCTTCTTCCAGTCATAGTGCAAAGAAATTTCATGAGTCAAACCGTCTGTTGGAAAGCAAATGCAAATAATGGAACAGTAAGCCAGAAATAAGGCAATGCGAGCAGGCTTAGATGCCAATCATGTCCCATTGACTTAAACGTGAATTTGGATATTAGGAATACTTTGTGGCGTGGATGTCGGTGTCGGTGTAAGTATGTGCCTGAGTGGGTTGATCTTGTTCTACCTTACACCTACACCTCATACCCACTGTGGAGAAACCTCAGATATAGTTTACGCTAGTTATATAGTCGACTCTGTAATCCAGCTTACACACTTGAATACGTTACTCTCCTAATCATTACCAGACCACAAGCTCATATTATTTCATATCACTTAATGTTCAATACACCGAAAAAATATTGTTTCCTTAAAAAAACTTACCCTGATTGTAAAATTATACCGGTAAACTTCCAGCGATATAGTAAAGAGCCGGATGCTCTGACACCGATTTAGGTTCACCAACTTCTCTAAAATATCGTCATTTTCTCAAAAAACCTTTTCTTTCACTAAAAAAAATCACACTCAAAATTTTGAAAAACCGACTTCGCATTCGGATTCTTCGACACCGATTTACTTCGGTCAACATTTTGAACATCTAACATTCGATCAAAGACTCAGAATTCTGGTCATGGCATACCTATAATAAAGTTTCATCAAAACGCTTGAAAAGGTTAAAACAAAAAGCTCATTTCCGATTGGTCGCCTTTCTAACCAATGGGAAGGTCGGATATAAAATCTGACCTCAAATTCGGAATCCTGGCCATCGATAACCTATATCAAAGTTTCATCAAAAAGCCCAAAAAGCTTAAAATAAAAAACCTCATTTCTGATTGGTCGGCATGTTACCCAATGGGAAGGTCGGATATAAAATTCGACCTCAAATTTAGAATCCTGGCCCTCGATAACCTTTAGTAAAGTTTCTTCAAAACGCCTAAAAAGCTTAAAATAAAAAAGCTCATTTTTGATTGGTCGGCTTTCTAGCCAATGGGAAGGCTGGATATAAAATCTGCCCTTAGATTAGGAATCCTGGCCATCGATAACCTATATCAAAGTTTCATCAAAAGGACCAAAAAGCTTAAAATAAAAAAGCTCATTTTTGATTGGTCGGCATGTAAGCCAATGGGAAGGTCGGATATAAAATCCGACCTCAAGTTCGGAATCCTGGCCCTCGATAACCTATAGTAAAGTTTCATCAAAAGGCCCGAAAACCTTAAAATAAAAAAGCTCATTTCTGATTGGCCGACTTTCTAGCCAATGAGAAGGTCGGATATAAAATCCGACCTCAAATTCGGAATCCTGGCCCTCGATAACCTATAGTAAAGTTTCATGAAAAGGCCCGAAAAGCTTAAAATAAAAAAGCTCGTTTCTGATTGGTGGGCATGTTAGCCAATGGAATGGCCGGATGTAAAATCTTACCTAAGGTTCGGATTTCCCGACCTGGATTACCTTTGGGCGAACTTTACAAGTTATGCCTAAATGAACTTCATCTCTGATGTTTTTTTGACCCCGGTATTCTTTTGACCCTGCCACAAACACACAAACACACAAACTATTTTTTTTCATATGACCCTCCCTACAGTCGAGGGAAAAATCAACAAGTAACGCTCGTCTGTGTGACTCGCTTAACCCTCGACTGAATATTTCACTGCATCGGCAGTTGTTTATTACTGCAGACATTTTGCAAAAGGTAGCATCGGGCATTTGCACATGGCTTTGTGCTAGTGTCAACATTAGTGTACACATGTATCGGCGTGTATAATGCTATTGGTACCGTTGTAATACTGCTAGCTATAACATTCGTTCATTTAATCTGTTACTCTATCAATAACACTCAAAAGAAATCTACGTGACCCACACTGACACAGCAATATCCTCAAACCACGAAAAAATAGTATATTCGATTTTCAGAGAAAATCAGCAGACAAAAAATATCAGGGTGACTGCAGTAAAGATGCACTACACTTCACGCAAACTGTATTAATAATGCGCATACTCATAAACACATAGGCGGGCAATATCGCTGACCGGTACCCACTACGAAAATGCATGTTTAGCGTAGCTATCAGACTAAAAAGCTATATTTGTTCAAACTAATATCCGGCATACGCAAGTTGAATCAGGCTTCAACTCTGAGTCTTTGTGAGATTAAATAACGAATTTTAAATAGCCGGAAAAAAAATTTGACAAGTCAATGGGCAGATGACGTATCTATGAAGATAAAGGATTATTAAATTCCATTCAAGTCCACTTTTGATGATTCGATGCAAATTGTATTATTGACGCTTTTCAGGAAATGTTCGATTCTGATATTGAAGATCTCCAACACACTCGTTCTCACACTTCATTCAAATACACTTGTTAACCCTCTTGCCAGTTCTTCCTCCCATGAATCCTAGTAAAATCTAAGTGCTAGAGATCCTTCCAATGGATTAGAAGTTTAAAAGAATTCTATTCAAAGGATTTTTTAGGGCAGCAGCTAGTCACTCGTCGGCATCCGAGTGGGTCGTCACGCGCAACTAATTGCTGTTATGCATCGTTCTCTTCCAGTAATTATATAATCATCCACTGTTATTTAAATTTTACTGGATTCTAGATTTGGATTAGTTTCAAAGCTGCCTATATTTATCGCATGAGAAATCCCAAAGTGAAAATACTTGTGAACTATTCCTTATGCGTTTCAATCCTTTACCTAGCTAGTCAATCTAAGATTTCATGGAGCTCGCCATCGAAAGAAGCTTAAGTATATGATTTCACACAAAAAACTAGCTTAATAGACCATATCTCATACCAAAAAAATTGTGAAGTAGAAATAGAAGCTACTATATTTCACTGTCGGAGTTCCGACGTGGCGCTATTCACACTTAGCTACTACTATCTTTGAACACATATTCTCAAATGACTACTTTCTTATTCAAGGCATGACTAATCCACATTTCGACTGCTTCAAAAGCTTCTCTACTCGTAACTAAAGGGTACTAGATTTCCTATATCCAGCAAGATATCTATTAAATATATACGTGTCGTCTCTCGAGTTTCTCCATGTTTATAGGAGTCCTTCTCTACATAAAGTGTCACATGTTAAGTCTCTGTGGCACTTTTTTAAGGACCTTGCTTGATGTTATGCAGAAATGTCGTAA